CTGCGTGTGCCTAGTTCAGCCGAGCTGGAAAGGGAGAGCTGCTCTTCTCCGGAAGCCTGGGGGATGGGCACAGTCCAGGGAGCCGGGCTCCTTGGAGGCAGCACTACACGTGGTCTTTTAACTGCATTAGAAAGAGCTTGAGGCGTGGCTGGAAGAAGCAATGAGGAGGCAATCTGACTTACTTTAATAATAGTTAACGATAATAATTTTAAAAATGCTCTGTATTGTTTAAAACAAAAAGGAAAAAAATCTCCCAAATTTAGGACCCACCCTTTCAAAGCCAGCTTTTGTCAGAATCTCTTTTGGGAAGAGGAGCCATCGTGTCATTTAAAGAAAATATTCCTGTATGTCTTATTCTGGGCCATATTTTTGCGGACATCCCAGTCAGCAATGCAACCTGTTTTGTTCTCTCATATTTAGTGACTTTAAAGGGGGCGATACTATTTTGATAGTAATTATTTATAATCTCATAAAAGAAAATAAAGAACTGTCATGACTTATTCATTTCAATGCAACTTTACATGGTACTATGGTCCTTAAAACAGCAGTGTGTCATATTTCTCCTGGGAACCAGCAAGATGAATATGTCTGGAAACACATCCCCAGGACCTCAATATCCATCACCTCTGGCAATGCTGAGTACAAAAACTTCAAGCTACAAAGTGTGGCGAAAAAGGATTGTTATCGACGTCTAATAATTCATTTTCTAGCAGACCCAAGATCCTAACTGGACTGTAGAGCATATTTCTTATTTGAAATTGCTCAGCCATGTAGAGTTCTCAGAGGAGGAGGAAAATGCCTAATTTTGTAACGGGAGATTTGGAAATTTAACCTAACCAAGCTAAACCAGTGTAAACTAATGTGTGTGCAGGGGCGCCAACCTGCTTGCGGCGCTGTGGGTCCCGCAAATGCATGCCCCTCCCCCGCCAGCAGATGAGTTTCTGGGGAGATGGCAAAATTGCGATTTAGACACCAGGGGGCACCAGAGCCAACGCTTTTGTGCTTTATCGTCCCCTCCCCGCACCCCGTCTCCCAAAGCCCATTTGATGTTGCTGCACTGAAGTAAAACAAAGAGAAGTCCCTGAGCAGATTTCTTCCCAGTCAGTAAGCATTGGACCAAAATACTATTGGTAGGAGTAACCACAGAGGACATCCCCGAGTGTGGCCACCAGCCAGCATCGCGCCTTCAACCCTTGCGAAAAAGAATGAGGCATAAGATGTGTGGCATGTATCATGGGAGCCTGACATGGAAACCACATTCAGGAGACCCTGGGCAGAATCAAGCCGAATTCCAGAGAAAAGGTTCGGCCCGCAGTGCCCAGGGCAGCCCACTTTGGAGACCCTGCGTCCCCACCGTGCCTGGCAATGGAGGGCTGATATGGACTTGTGGATGGAAGAAACGGGATCTGACATTCAAGAAACACTCTTAGAATATACTTACGTGTGTGGTGTGTGTGCATGTGAGTGTGTGGTGGGGGTGCATGTGGGTGTGTGGGGTGTGTGCATGTGTGTGTGTATGTGCATGTGTGTATGGTGGGTGTGCATGTGTGTGTATGTGGTGTGTGTATGTGCATGTGGGTGTGTGGGGTGTGTATGTGGTGTGTGTGTACATGTCGCATGTGAATGTATGTGCATGTGTGATGTGCGTTTGTGCCCGTGTGTGCTATGTATGTGGTGACACTAGGCCGACGATTAAATGCACTGCATGGATCTGCCAGAGGGGAGGAAACAAAGTGACTTTGGGACAGAATTGCCTGACGTCCTTTAAGAGCCTTTCACAGCAGAGCCCGTGTGGCTGGAGCTCACAGCCATTCTAGCTGACTCACCAGCCCCAGGCTTCAGAGGCCTGTCTGACGGGCTTGAGGGACCTCGGAGAGATGCTTTTACACCCTAAATATCTTATTTTTCCCCACACTGCCCCCACTGTCATCTCCCCTGGAAGGCAGCCTGCCTCCTATTTTAATCTGATCAAGCCACCATGTAGCAGTAGGTCGGCCAACCTTTGCCATCGAGGAGGCCTGGAGGCCTGTGAAGGGAGCGTGTAACCATCTCCAGCATTCTGGTAAGGCTGACACTACGAACAATGTTCTTGGAGTGTTTTGGGGTCTCCTGAGCCCCCGAGTCAGCCAGGATACAGCCCCACCCCACAGAGCAGGGATAGCATGGCAGTCTCCCGGCTGGTGCCCAAAAGTCACCATTTGTTGAAGTGACTGGAGTTGGAGCCATGGGGTCCGTCCCCCTACCCCCAGCACAACTCTCTCCTCATCCCCGTGGCCTAGTCCACCCTCAGAGCCAAGGGACTCACAGCCAGCCTCCTCGTCGTTTGTCCTCCAGCTCCAGAGACCAGTCTGAACAGAAGGGACATCTGGAAAAATTGATGGATTCTAGATCACTTCCTGCAGGACAGCCTGGTAGACAGTAGGAGGGTCATGGAAGGTGAGGAAGTGATGGCTAGGAATGGCCCAGAAAAATGTCATTCATACCTTCAGCAAGGTCCAAGCGAGATGCTACGGAGTCAGGTTACAAGGAGCCAAGAGGGAATGTGCTGTCAGGATGCCACAGAGTCAGCAAGCTGGTCAACAGAAGACAAAAATTCTAAAGAAGTGGAGCTAGATTATCATTTGAAGGCCGCAGGGAAGGGGCCTATAGTGAGGCAAAGACTGAGGCTCTTGCTGTGGAGGTTGTCCCACAGGAGTGGGGCCCTCCCTGAGCCCGGCAGGGCCTGTCACCTGAGGAAGGCCGGTCACCCAGTGCTGTCCATCCCGGGCACTCAGAAAATGTGGCCTCAGTCCCACCCTCACCCCAGCTCAGACTCCAACCCAGATGCAGCTCTGACGGCGAAATCTCACAGGACCGAGGATGTTCTTCTCTGACCTGAGCCCTAAAGGGTCCCCCACAGCTAAAATGATGGGGGCTCTGGGAATCGGAGCTCTGGGGCCTAGGACTATGTACGACTCTCAGACTGCCTCCTTTATGGGCATCTTCTTCCAGTATCCCCTCCATTGCAGATATTAAGGAGAGAACTGTCTGCTGCCTGCACGGCTGTGGGCACAGAGCCCACGGCCCACGAAGAGACCCACAGTACTGGCTCTCCCCTCCCTCCCTGGGGGCCCCTCACTGCTCTGTTTTCCTGGGGGCTGGCGTCACAGGGACCCTCCTGGTTTGGGGGTGCCTTCAGAAGCAGTGAGAGTAGGAACCTCACAGGAGTGCAGGAATTCTAGAATGCCTTTGCCAGCAGCACCAGAGAACCAAATGTGGGGGTGGTTCTGCCCCCCTGTCTTAGTACGTCCAGCCTTCTGAGTTCTCCCAACCCGGCTGATGTCAGGAAAGAGTGTGCCAGGGTTTGTTTCCATGGAGGCAGCGCAACTGTGGAAGAAACTGAGGCCTGACGGAGAGGCTGCAGAGGCGGATGGCAGGACAGAGTGGGCAGAAGAGGGCAGGGAGGCCTGCAAGCCAGGGAAGGAGCTGGGTTTGGCTGTAAGGGGTACGGAGCCACTTGGGCCGTCGTGTGACCATGCTCTGCCTTACCCTCGGGCGGCCGTGGGATCCTGCTGGACGAGACGGAGACGAGGACGGCCACCGGGAGGCCACAGCGCTGGGGTGGGCGAGGCTGTGGTGGCTGCGCTGCAGTCCCCCATCCACAGGGAGGAAGGTCAGCTTGTAGGCAACCTCAGAATACAACTCTAGAAGACGCAGACCGGTCACATTACAATATCCCCACCCCAAAGAGCTCAGTGACTTGGCCACCAACATTTTTTGAAGTGATTCTGTGAAAACAAGATTCCTGTTGGCAAATAATTTTGGGAAACCCTATGTTGAACGAGTGTAGGCGGTTTCTTTAGCGTCAGATTCTGCAGGATCTTGAAAGGGCTGATGGGAATTTTGAATGCCCCAGGGGCAGGAGAGAGATTGTATAGCGTTAATCACAGTCCTTACACCACAGAATTTTTGTGTTTCAAAGCATCTTTTGGGACTATTGCCGCTTGGAACATATTTTGGGAAATGCCAACCCCTGGGAAACATCACATAGCAGAGCCCAGGAGCTTTCTGTAAGTGTCCTCTGGCCTTGTCTCCTCAGAGCGTCCTCTGAACCTTTGCCCGAGCTGTTACCTCTACCCGGTAAACCCCGAGCCAGCCATCTTTCCTCTGTGCAACCTTCTTAGAACCCTCCAGGCAGTGGGAAAAATCGCATCCCTCATGTTCCTGTAGCTCTTTTTCACAGAATAATGTAATCATTTTTAACATGTCTGTCTTTCCTACAAGATGGCCAGCTTCTGGAAAAGAGCCACATACCTTATTATTCCTCTTTTATTCCCCCATAATGTCTGCCTATAGCTGGTAACCAATGAATGAAGAAATGAATGAACAATCATAGAGAAGTGGAGGGTGTTGATGGAATGCAGGAGTTGCCGGATGGTTCCAGCGTGAGAGGCTTCCTAGAACCCCTCTGCTGACCCATAGGTGGCACCGTGTTCCACTTGTTCATAATTACAGTCCTAGCTTTATTTTACACACATACACCCTCCCCCCTTCAAACTAGGGATATATTTCAATTTCTCCCCAAACTGAATTTTGTGTCTTTATAGCTATTATCTAAGGTCTGGGAACCGTTTCATAAAGGCTCACTTGTTAATTAACATCACACACTCTGCCACCAGGCAGTGCTCAAGAAGTGGCTCGTGAATTTTCTGGGAGATCACAGTGTGAATTAGTTATCTTTCTCTGCAGAGACTAGATGTTTGAATGTTTAAAAACCTCAAGGCAGCCTGAGACAGATGACCGTGACTTGTTTGCAATGTGTTTAAACAAGGAGGGTGCCGCTGCGCATGACCTTCCGAGTTTGTCTGGGAAGCTCAGGAATCCGTGTGAGGCAGGCGAGGCCTCCCCACCTCAGAAGGGCAGAACCGGGCTTTCCATCACGTCTGCCAAACATGGCCCACGGGGCCTTGCATGCTGCCAGTGGGTATTCAGTCACCCAGGCCAGGTAGGCAGGCTGGCATAGCAGCCCCCCTCCTGGCCTCCCGCGGGAGAAGATAGAGAGGTAAAGATGATGTGGTAGGCAGCAGAATTTTTTCTACCCTTCTAGGCTCAACTTCTGTCTTGAGCTGGCTTTTTCTTCAACAAAGGAGCCTGGCTTTTAGGAACGGACTCACTTTTCACAAGACAATGGACTGCGGGCTCCCGGGAGGCAGAGCTGTTCCCTCGCATCAAGGAGGAGGAGCGGGCAGCAGGCCAGCTTTGCGACGAATGCCTCAGCTGGGGCTGCCCCTGATGCTTTGGCTCTGCAGATGGAAGAAACCTTTCACGCCCTTAGCAGCTTAAAACCCCGCTTGGGTTTCACTGGAAAAAGCACACAGTCCCAATCCCCATTCATTCCAGGTTTCTGACTTTTATGGTTTCTACCAGCAAGTGAAGAGACCCAATTTCTTATTTGGCTCTACTAATTGGGCATGGCCAGGATGCTTTGACACCCAGTAGGACCAATTTCATGACATGCAGCCTGTGCAGTCGTTCAGGTCCCACACTCACAGGGGCCCCTGGCATCATTTAAGGCATGCTCTGCTGCTGTCATCTTGAAAGTCTTACTTACTTTTTTTTTTTTTGAGAGGGCATCTCTCATATTTATTGATCAAATGGTTGTTAACAATATTAAAATTCTGTATAGGGGAGTCAATGCACAAGGCACAATCATTAATCCACCCCAAGCCTAATTCTCGTCAGTCTCCAATCTTCTGAAGCACAATGAACAAGCTCTTACATGGTGAACAAGTTCTTACATAGTGAATAAGTTCTTACATGGTGAACAGTACAAGGGCAGTCATCACAGAAACTTTCAGTTTTGATCACACATTATGAACTATAAACAATCAGGTCAAATATGAATATTCATTTGATTTTTATACTTGATTTATATGTGAATACCACATTTCTCCCTTTTATTATTATGATTGTTTTTAATAAAATGCTGAAGTGGTAGGTAGATGCAAGATAAAGGTAGAAAACATAGTTTAGTGCTGAAGTCTTACTTACTTTTGAACAAGGAGCTGGTGTTTTCATTTTGTACCGGGCCCTGCAGATTATGTCTGCAGTCCTGTGTGCCAGGCACACCCCTGCCCTTCCCCTTCCTTGGCAAACCGTCAACCTTCACTCTCAGCTTCAACCTCCCTTCCACAGGATGGAATATTGTGATACTGAGAATTATGACAACACAGTTAGCACATTTATTTGCACACAGCAATTAATTGCACCTTTAATGCATGTCATGCACTGGAGCTAGGTGCTTTGTATGGATTTTCTCCTTTGGTCGTCTGAACAAGCCATTGACCAGCTTTCTTGATAGATCTTGTTGTGGGGGGAGGTGGGAGGACCTGGGGACATGTCCATTCAAGGAGGACACTGGCCCACCATGATTGGCATGTGAAAATACAATAATTACAGTTGGAGTATTAAATGCCCCAACCAAAAGCAGCAGCACCTGAGACCTCTCCTGGGCAGGTCAAAGACAAAGGCCCCAATTCTTCTGCTCATGCGGAAGGTGGTGTGTCCCAAGAGTCTTTCATGGGAGGAGGGCTGCACCCTGATCTTGTCTCTTGCACCTACTTGCTCTGTTTTCTTGAGTCCCACAACCTCTCAGCCTACATTCTTTTAACTGTAAATTGGAAGGTCTAAACTAAATAATTTCTCCCAGCTCCAGAGTTCTAGAATCCTTTATTCAAAACCTCCAGATGGGACAGTGTAGCTTTCAGATCACCAAGAGATCTTCTCCTTTGCACAAAGATGGTCCACTCACCACTATAATGAAAAGTGAAAGGGTGCTGATACGCTGGTATACTGGGCCCTGAGCATGCAGGACACTTGCATACTCACTGGCCTTTCATCTCTACTGGGCATGCCAGTGGGTCTCTGCCTTAACCTAACTCCAAAGAGTTTGTTTTCTCTGTCAACAGCTGTGTCAAACATTTGGCCTTGTCTTGCCAAACGTAGGGATAAATAAATTTCCAGGCATCACTAATTTCCCCTGTTTAAACTCATGAAGTGTCCTGTTTTAAATAATTCTGTTTCCTTCTGTCCAAACTCACAGGTACAAAGGATTTAAAGGCAACTGTTCCATGACCTTCATCGATCAGTTTAAAGCACTTCATCAGTGTAACAAGTATTGCAAAATGCTGGGGCTGAAATCTCTTCAAAACAACACCCAGAAACAAAAGAAGCCAAGTACTGGGAAAAGCAAAATTCAGCCAAACTCCACAACAGTGAAGAAGATGGCATCTGGGACCCCAGCAGAAAAGAAAAGCTAGCATCCCCGATGAACTAATGGCCACCAGCTAGCAGCACATGGTCTTGTGGGTGGAAACCTGAAAACACCCAGGAGAGGACACACAGCCTGTAGAGTGATGTGACAATCCTTATTCCCCGCTGCCTGTGCTCCAAGCTGCTTCTGAACCTGTCGCCTGCTGCCTTCCCTGAAATGCTTTTGGAGCAGGATTTGTGACCGACTTAGGGAGACAATTGTCATTCTGAAAGACAGCCCATCTTTGTATACACCTTTTGCATCTGTACTGACCTAGAGTTATGTGTCTGTCTGTGTATTTGCATGTGGCTGTGCTGTCAGAGACTCGATGCTGAGCAGGGTCTGTCCACAGCCCAAACCCTCCCATCCCTAATCCCAGAATTTCTAGACAACCAGCTGCTTTCTGAGCAGAAAATGTGAATTCCTTCCTTGGGTCAGGTTGTGGCACTCACGTCTAACATACTGTTGCTGCTGGAGGTGGCTTCAGAAACGTGAGGCCATTTCCCATTCATTATTCACACATCCGGTTATAATTTTCTGTTTAATTAAATTCACATCGAAACGAAAAGTGTAAGCTGTGTAGACTAGCGCAGACACTTATTCTTTAGAATTTGTGCCATATTTCACATTCCCCCAGGATTGGTAATTTAATAATTTCCTAAGATGTTTACTGGAGCACAAAATATTTGCATCTGTGTTTTAGCCGCATTCTGACCTCACAACTCTGGTTCGATCACTATCTGCTTTGCTCTCTGATCCCAGGGCTGAGCCACGCCCATGACACAAGAAGATGCGTGCAAAGCTGACTGGGGTACCCAGCTTGCAGGTTCCCGCCCGCTGCCACCAGAGTCACCTTCCTTACTTGCTTGGGTCCTGCCCAGCTGTAGAGCAGAAGGGCAGCCGCAGTTCACACAGGGTAGGGAGAAACGACATGAAGACAGCTCAGGGGCAGGTTTATGCACCCCCAACTGTGCTGCCCCAGTTTGTTGTCTAATTCATAGACTCTGTTTTCTAGGGTTTTTTTTTTTTTTTGGCAGTTTTAGGTTTACAGAAAAACGAGTGGAAAGTTCAGCGAATTCCCATGTGCTCCTTCACTCCCCTCCGTTATTTCCATCACTACCGTCTTGCATTCGTGTAATATTTGTTTTAATCAATGAGCCAATATTGCTACACTATGATCAGTTAAAGTCCATAGTTTACACTGGGGTTCACTCTTTGTGCTGTGCACTCTCTGGGTGCTGACACCCATGTAATGACACGTGTCCATTCCAGTATCATGCAGAATGGCTCGCTGCCCTGAAGATCTCCTGTGCTCCACCAACTCATCCTGCGGTCCCCCGCTCCCAGCTCCTGGCAACCACTGATCTTTCTACTGTCTCCATCGTTTTGCTCTTTCAGGAAAGTCATATAGTTGTAATCCTGCAGTATGTAGCCTTTTCAGATGGTTGGGTTTTTTTTTAAAGACAATGTCAATTACCTCCTGACTCTATCTGGGAGAGTTGGTGAGCCACCTCTGTGATTTTAGGATTTCGGTAAAACAGAGAAGATAGATAGATTTTTTTTTTTTTGGAAAAGGGATTTGCAGGACAAAACACTTCAGTTAGTCTCATCTCATCATTTCAGAAAATGTGCCATCTTCGGCCTTTCTTCTGAAGTGATTTCCCTGACTACAGATGATAAATTGCTCATTTTTCTCTGAGGCAGCCTGCAGCTTGCTTTCCCCATAGAGATCCTACAGATGTATTTAGCAGTGGAGTTCTAGAAAATTCCACAACAAAAAGCACAGGGCATGTTTTGACTAGAATTTATGTTCATAAATATACATGAGTGTGTGTGTGTGTGACCAGAGCCCTCCCAACAGGCCAGGGAACTTGATTTAGTAATAATTTGTAATTATAAAATAGTATTAACCCAAGTGACACAATTAAAAAAAAATTTAGAAAAGTACAAAGTGAAAAGTCAAAGTCATCTTGTAACCCTCTCGCCTTCAGAGTAGCTGGCTTTGAATTTTGACTTGGAGAGACGGATGAAGGAAAAAGATTTTCTACTCCCAGATCTTGTGCTTCTCAGTCAGCCCATGGGATGCCCGTCTTGGATGGAGCTGTCCCTTCCCCTTTCATAGATGCTTATAGTTTTTTTTTCAAAGCGCCCTTATTGTTTATTGTAATCTGATTTAATGTGGAAAAACATTTGGAGGACCAGGGACAGAAGGGGCGCCGGCAGTGGGATTTGTCCCTGACAGGTGGCCTAGGGGTGGCCTTGGGTCTGTGTGGCCATCTGTCCAGCCACCCAAACCCTGACCGTCTGTTCTGAGATGAACTGCTGTCTTTCTTGCACAGTCGGTTAACAGGGTGAGCGTGCAGCGGGCTCTCTTACACCAAAGGTGGTGTTCTCGGGTCTCAGAATTGCCCACACTCACTGCCACTGTTTGAGTTCAGTTTGCAACATGTCCAGTTTCTATTGATTTCCCCAGTTGTCTTCGTAAGTGTACAGTGGTAACACAACAAATGTTCAACCCTGGGCACCAGGCGAGGATGGCCTGGTGGGTCCCACTGGGGATTTTGTCCCTGATGCCTGCGGGGTGGTTGTTTTACATGTAAGTATTTCGGTTTCATAAGGGGCTTGACAGAGGAGCTCTGTGATGGGCAGATGACAAAAATAAATGAACGTCTCATTAAAATGGGCTTGTGTTTTCAACAGCAGGCTTATCACTAATGAGAATGGCAGAGAGGTGATGACTTCCTGCTAGTGGGCATCGTGTTCTGGAAGGTCTAGTTTTGGTTGTGTAGATGACTAGTTTGTGTTAATATTTCATGTTATCTATTGAACCAGTGCCTCGCCAGCCATGCCTCTGACAAGCCTCACAACAAGTAAGTTCAATTGATTCTTATTAAAAAGAATGCCAGAAGAAGGAACGATTATTTTCTAATCATAAAGTACTCTCTTTCCTAAATATATGTACTGTTTTGTGTGTGTTGGACGGGAGCAGCTGGCCACAGCGCGGTCCAGGCTCGCTTCCTTTATGTATGTTCTGCTCTGCTGGACCATGTGTGCAAAAGTGAACAGATTGGTGTTTCTCCCCCATCTCGATCTGCAGATGCCACTTGGGCAAATAGTAAAAAAAAAAAAATCAAAGAGACACAGAAACCTCTTCTGACTCCCAGCACAGGGCATGCTTTCCAACTCTTTGCTGTAGCAGCTCTGAAATCCTTTGAGAGCCAGCTTGTTCTAAAAGTGCTCTGCAAACGCTGAGACGCAAGATGGAGGCCAAGGTCATCTGTGTGGCCTTGTGCGCACAGATTTCAACTTTATGATGCAATGAACAAATATTTACAAGCACTACTTGTCCCACTAGATCAAAATTGTTTGAAATTCTATTTTTCAAAGGGATCCAAATGGTCGCAGATAGCAATAATCTCAAAAGGTATGTTTTCCCAAATCATATGTTCTTGATAGATCGGATCAAGAAAAGCAGTCTTTCGGCTTCTATTTTAGGGAAGTAACTTCCATTTCAGTATTAGAAGCAATGCTAATGGATAGCTCACCTCCACCTTCCTCTCCACCCCTCTCGTGTCTTCTTTCTCTGTATCTGTCTGACAGTGGCTGCTGCTCGGTGAAGAGCTGTCCACCATATTTTCTTTGGGGTCTCTATTAGTCTCCTGGGGCTATCGTAACAAAGTAGACCACAAACTGGGGGGCTTACACAACAGGATTGTATTGTCTTAACCTGTGGCAGCCTCACTCACAGTACATGGCTATGCCCAAAGTCCCCTCTTTATAAAGACACACATACTCCATTAAGGCCTACCCTAATGACATCACTTTAACTTGGCTAATATCCCATCTCCACATAAATTTGAATGCTGGTGTTCTGGGGATTAGGACTTCAACATACGAATTTGGGGAAAGCAGTTCAACCTGTATAGTCACCTTGTTCTTCACACCCACATCCACTTGCAGGCAGCTGGCTCAGGCCATAGGAAGTAAAGATGGGGTGTGCCCTGCCCCTCAGGACCTCCTTCTGGCCTCTTGCTGGGAACCGGCCCACAGAAATGGTCCCTGGGCCTCATGGAGCCCATCCATACTACAGCCTCACCTTTCCGGGCAAAGATCATTTGGGCACCTCAGTTCACTCTCCCATAGCTTTAGAGAAACCTCTCCCCTTCTCAAGAGATGGAAAGGTGTGTGTCGTCATCTGGAGCCACAATTGTCTCCGAATCCCAAGGCCCTGGACAGTGACTGCGAGGCCTTTTCCCCACCAAGTGCCCACAGTATGACCCCACAGCCTCACCAAGCACTGCCCCTGGTGCCCTCTGACCCTGACTTCCAATCACCCCCACCATGTCGTTCTATTCCCGACCCTCCTGGGCCTTCCCCTGTGCCCACACCAGTTTCTAATACACTGCACACTGGACAAACTTATTTTGATCAGTGTTTATCTCCCCATCAGGATGTAAACTCTAAGAGGATAGAGATCTTTTTCTCTTTTGTTTACTGATGGACCTCTCACACCTAGAAGAGCCAGGAACATAGTAGATGCTTCATAAATGTGTGTTAAATTGATCGCTTTATCCCTGAATGCCTTCAAGCCCTCCGTGTTTCACAATGGATATTCTTCTGTCTGTGGTTTTGATTGTCGCTGTTTCTAGTTTCTCTGTGTATCAGGTATGCTTCCATACAGTTCATTCTTTTTGTTCATTTCAGCAAATTTCTGAATAAAGATTGGAGAAAACCCTCTTCTTGCCCAGACACCCCTACTCCTGATTTAAAAATGCACTAATCCCCTCTCTCCCCTCCCTGACTGCATAGCCCTGACATGGCTGTTCCAGAGCTGGCTGATTCTCTCGTCTCTTTGCCCAGACGTTGGGCAAAGTCTGACCCACATCTGTCCTGTCACCTCTTCCAAGAGCCTCCTCCAGCCTTTACTCTCCCACCACAGTTTGTCAGTGGCTCTATAAGTAACTGCAACATCCTGGCCTTTTCCCCCATCACTTCCAGAATTCCCAGGGAGCCCAGGGCAGAAAAGGGTGGAGTGGTTCTAACACTTACTAGGTGTGTGACCTTGGAGAGTGATGTCACCTCTCTTGAACCCCACCTTCCTCCTCTGATAAATGTGTATAATAAGACCTACCTTGCAGGGCTGTGAAAATTAATTTACGTGCAAAAAAAATAACAGACCTAGAGTGGCACTCAATAGATAGGAATCATTATTCTCATGACTAAGCTTTTATATATTTGTTAGCTTGGAGAAGCTATTTATCTATAAATATCTGTATCTCATTCATAAAAGAAGAATGAGTTTCATAAATCATTTTACCATCCGCTAAGGGAAAATAATACACAAAACATCACTTAAACATGACCTACAAGTGTAAACGAACACTATTTTCCCCTAGTGTTGATAATAAGAGGAAGATGAGAATAAATCATGTCATATGATGGATTTCTGTAATATATTTTTTCAGGGTTCAGTTTTCCAAAGCTATTTCACACAGTGTCACCGGTCTCATGCTAGACAGCCCCTCTATTAACCTCAGCCACCCAGTCTCCTAAGAGGGCTAGGTGATCAGAGGTTTAGTGACTCCACTGCACACCTCTGAACTTTCACAGTCAAGCATTGAGGAGCGCTTGCTGCCTGAGCGAGGCCCAGGGGCTGCTGACAAGTGTGACTGCATTGTCTTCATGCTGTTTTCAGATAAGCGCGGCTTTGATCAGTGGCCCTTCAAGCTCCTAGCGTCTCTTTCATCTTCCCTCTGTCTGAAAGAGGTAAATTTTGAGCAGTACATGTAAGGTGGTGACGGCTCAGTAGGGAGAGAAAAGGAAGGTAGTCCCCATAAGAAGAATCTCAAAGAGGCAAGGTTCAGAAGCAAGAATACCATCCTGGGGCGACGACAAACAAATTTTCCTGGAAACCCAGAGGTATGCCATTGATTAAGGAGAAACGGGAGCGGCTTGGGGGCATGACTGAGCAGGACCAAAAACTTGCAGATTGGTCAGGATGCTTGGCTTGTTTTTGTGGCTTCATAAGGAGCTTTAGGCTTAGCCGTGCACACCACCCGGAGCAACCGGAGAGTGTAGTGCATGCTCAGGAAGGAGGCAGGATGCAAGAACAGAGAGCAGAGCTCCTCACCACATCTTCCCCAGGCATCTCTGGGCCAACAGGCAGGAGAGTTCTGGAAATCCAAAAGAGACCATGGCTAGAAGGGTTCAGGAGCAAGTCATGGGAAGCTCGGAGTGGCCCACAGCTGGAAGAGAGAAGCAAGAGCAAAGTCAAAACCAAACTAGCTTATTCTACTGCAGCATCTGGAAGCTTCCTTTTCCAGGCAGGTTCCCTAGGGCTCTGCAGGGCAGGGGTCAGCCCTGCACACAGGTCAGGGCAGCCAAGAAGGAGCGCAGGAACAGCAGCCAGTGGCTGAGATGGGGAAACCCTGGCAGTGTCCTTCGGGCGGGTGATGTGCAGCAGCGGAGTCGCTGTTTGCAGGTAGCACCAGCTGTATCTCAGAGCCAACCGACTGCAGAAAATTTCACCCTGGGTAATTGATTCACTTCTTACTGCTGCGGCTTCCCAGGAGGTCGTTCTGTCTTGTCATCATTCATGTCTATCCTTACACATCTTGCTGACAATGCCTCATGATATGGACCTGAAGATCGATAGTCTTTACTATTGTTTCCACTTCTGCTACAGGAAACCAATACATCAAACAAACTGCTCACTGCACGAGACTGAGGGTTTAAATTCCATGTGGTCCTGTGCCCATGATTCATCTTCGCCCTCCCTCTCTCCTAGTGACAGGCTCAACAAGGAAGGAAAACCACCCTTGCCCCAGACAGTGTGAGGAGCTGAAGCCGAGTGCCCTCTGCCCTCATTGGTTCACCTCCTGGAGTTCTAGTTCCCTGACGGAGACTTTATGTAGTAAATCCCAAGCAAGCAACCACCTTTTCCATCAAGTCCTGTTTAACTGCCCTGGGGGAGGAGAGGGCTCTCCTTAGAAAAGTCCACCTAGTTAGGTTGAAGTTTGATGTCCCAGCTGCCCTCATGCCTGAGAATACCAGGTATTAACTTTGATTCTTCAGCCAGTCTTTCCTAAAGAATAATCATTTTGTCTTGCCAATCGGTTTCAGCCCCGGGCAAGTTCACTATGGATTCAGTGTGACCAAAGATATGACAGTAGAATGTTCTTGGGGTGAAAGGATTATACCCGACTTTATTTCCATGGTGGCAGGTCAATCACTAATATCCTGTTCACTCAGAGCAAGTCTGCAGGCAGCAAGCCTGTCTTCCTCTGGGCCTCTGTCCTCGGTGCTGCCACCACTCCAGCCTCTGCTCTCCTGCAGCCTTCAGCCCTGCCACCGTGTCACCCAGAGCACTAGGCAGAGCTCCTTATATAGAGTCAATAGCAACATATTGCCCACAGGTGTGCAGTGAGCTAGCCAACCAGGGCCAGGTGAGAATCCTGGCCACAGGAACTTTCATTTTATCCACAATTTTTAAAAGGAAAATAAGGCGTTTTCCTCTGAATTATTAGAAAAATCTCATTTTTACCTTTCTTTGGGTATTTTTCCAAAAACTTCTCCTGGCTCTCTCCTTACATTTTAGGTCTCTAATCAAAGGTCACTTTCTCTGGGCTCCTCCCTCACCCACCACCCTGTCATTCTCAGTCTCGGCTGGGTACTGGAATATCAGGGAGCTGCAGGAAATAGTGGTGGTGCCCCAGAAATTCCAAAGTTCCACCCCAGAGCTTCTGGTTGAATTGCTTAGGGTGTAGCCTGGGAAGTGGGATTTGGGGACTGACTTTAAATTACTGTGGGTGGTAGGATTTGATGCACCCCTACACAGGGCCCTGGCCCACAGTGATCCCTTGCTTATATTCAAGTTTCCAATGTGTTTTCTCCAGTACCAACAAGCAATTCTGTAACACCAGCTGGATGTCCTACAATTTAACTCGATTCTGATACCGTTCACCTGGAGAGAGCATCAGACTGTCCCCGCTGCACCCCACCCCCCTGCAGCCACCCACAGGTTAAGGGCTCAGTCCCACAAGACTGCCCCATGCCCCCAACTTCAGAAGCCAATGCAGGTCCAGGTTGTCACTGGTGCTTCTGACTGGCTGGCTATGAATTGGAGGTTCCCATGCCCCCCTCCTCGGGTTTTGAATAATTTGCTAGAACAACTCACTGAAGTCAGAGAACTTTACTTACTGGATTACTGGCTTATTATAAAAAGGTATCACTCAGGAACAGCCAGATGGAAGAGATGCCTAGAGGAAGGGGTGGGAAGGGCGTGGAGCTTGCATGCTGTCTCGGGGCACCCCACTTGCTCAGTAATGTGTTCACCAACCTGGAAGTGCTCAGAACACTGCCCTTTTGGTTATTTTCTGGAGGCTCATTAGTTGTCACGATTGATTAAATCATTGGCCCTTAGTGGCTGATTCAATCTCCAGAAGTTAGGAGGTGGGGCTGAAAGTTCCAAGCCTCTAATCACATCATTGATTCCCTGGCAACACCCTCCCCCCACTTAGGTTACCTAGGCCTTTCCAAAAGTCACCTTAGTAACATAAACACAACAAAGGACGTGCTTATTGCTTTCATCACTTAGAAAATTGCAAGGGTTTTAGGAGCTCTGTGTCAGAAATATGACCGAGACCAAATATGTGTTTATTATAAATCACAATATCACAAAGTTGCACATAGCTATGGACAAAGCTTAACAGGAGTACTGTTACTGTTCCTACAGCTTTTCCCTGAGATACGATGACATAAGTGACCAGTACAAGCAAGAGGACAACTCTGGGTGCTTATGCTTGGCCTAGTCATCAAGGAGGCCCTCCAGTACTCCATAAAGGAAGGTAGTTACTTAAATACAGAACTTTCCAGGGAAGAAGCCTACACTCAAGCCTATTTTCCTGAAATTTCCAGTTTTACCAAATTATAAGTGTTACCAAGGAATTTAAAGCACCACTTTCTCAAGGTGAGAAAAACATGTTCCTGGCAGGTCCAGCCCTGCTCGTGGGGACAGTAAGCCACTGCCCATGTGATCTGAGGTCAGGGCACCAAACACCCTCCTGTCACAAAACTCTCTCTGCCTTCTTGTATTACTCACCTGGAAAGTTAACCTTTGGGTGAAAACATGCATCTCAACAAACAATGAAGCTAGGCTGCCTGGGACAATCACCCCTTTCATATGTTCACGTGGGTTACCAGAAAGCCCGGCCCCAAGGTTGGTGGGTGCAGAGATGTGGAGGAGGAAAAGGGGGTCTGATAATGAAATGGAATAACGTCATTCTCCATCTGTACAGAGCTGGTTATTCTCCCAAATGTGGACTGCGCCATTAAGCTTGAGGACAATTTAGGGGGAGCGTCATCAGGCCTCTGAATGGCTCTTTTCTCTGGGAGAAAATTCTATGTGGAGGAAATACATGTTCAGTGAGTTTCAGGGGTCATTCATGACTCAGCCCCTGAGCCATGACCCAAAATCAGACCTTCTGCCTCCTGCCTTATCCATCACTCCCTCCTCCAGAAAGACATTTTGGGGATATACCCCAAAGGTAAGCCCTAGCTTATTTTCACTCTAGGAAAAATATCAAGGCAACCATCTTTGTGGACCTTCCCATTTCCTGGGGTCCCACGGTCACTACCCTCAAGGTGGCGTCAGTGCCCTGGGCACATTTAAAGTTTATTCCTTTTGCATTGGGCGCAAGACAGACACACCTCACTGGGTGGATTGCTCAGGGAGTCAACATCAACTTTTCCAGGGTGCTTATGAAATGTTTCACCAAATAACTTTAGTCTATTTTTATTCTTTTATATGCATTGTATGACAAGAGATTGGTCACAGTTCATTTTCAAATACATGTATATATTTACACCATCCATAGATGTACACACAATGAAAGTCCTAAATGGGGTAGCAAAGAGTGGGCGATTCAAAGGTCACTCTGCTTTCTCCTGAAGTCATGAGTCATTTCCCTCATTTTGTATAGAGCTGGGCTCTTGCTGGCCCTGACTACCCGACACTCCTCATACTTAGTCAGAATTGGGGTTCAGATGTGGGGCCATGTTCCAGGCCCTAGCTTTTCCTACCTTGACTGCAACTCTGGGGGTCCACCCCCACTGCAACTCCCTCACTTCTCTGAGGGGGTTATGGTCATGGACCACTAAGGGGAATATTATGTCCCCATGCAGCATTTGGGAATGGCTCAGCCAGGCTTGGGCATCGATGGACATGTGGACATCCTCTCCTGAACACTCCAGGGGCCCGAGCAGGCAGCTGTCACAGAATTATCACTCCACAGTGACCAGTCAACAGCTAATGTAGCTCCTCAAATTATGTCAATTTTTGTTAGCTCAGCCTCCAGGTGGCGCTCTCTGCAGCCCCTTCCCTCAGGGCCTGGACTTTGCAGACCAGGGTCCTACCCTTTCCCCCGGCAGGCTACTCCAGGCCACCCTCTGCTCCCCTCCCTGGGTGCAAAGACTGTCCTGTTTTACTCTTTGATTCTGGAAAGTTTGTTTGGGAAAAAATAATTTAAAACTGTATGTTTTGTGCTCTTTTTTCCATTCCTGCTACAGCAACCCATTTCTCCTGTGTTGCCTGATCCCCAGCTACCAGAACAGCCCATATGGGAAAGAGAGAGAGAGAAAAAAAGCGCTGTCTACCCAATATCCACTTCTCCCATCTTTTTAGAAACAGACCCCAGTTTTGTTCATAGTGGTAAAGTGCTTGGTTAAAATCCTGCATTTCCTAGACTCCCTGGCAGCTGAAGGTAGTTGTGTCACACTGCTGATCAGTGAGGTGTGAGCAGAAGTCTCCAGGTGGGGCTTCCGGGAGTGTTCTTCAAAGGGGATCGAGCTAAATAGCAACTACCTTTTTGGTCCTTCATCCTTTTTTCCCCTTCCTGGATAGCTGGAGCTCTAGTAATCATATTGTGACCATGGGGACAGGACAGCACGGCCATCCACAAGGCTCCAAATGGCTGAAGACACTGTGGACCCAAATGGTTAAAGACTGCTGGCCCAGACCTAGGCTCTCTGCCTCCTGATTTGTCATTAAAGGAGAGAAATAAAGCTCCATTTTGTCTGAATCAGTTGTTACTTGATACATAATTTCACATAAGTTGTTTCTGTTTAAAAATGAAGTTCTCAAAATCATTCAAAATACAGGATCTTGCTAACACCTAGTTTTAGGGTAAGTGGTGCTCAGCAGCGTCCCCTAGAGTGCTTGACAAATGGCAGTGCCTGGGTCCCCCTCAGAGATTCTTACGTCATTGGTCTGGGGCATGGCCTGGGCGCTGGGACCTCGGAGGCTCTCAGTAGGATTCCAGCGCACAGCCAAGGTCGAGAACACTCTGCTGCTCTCTTTGTCAAGGCAAGAGTAATTGGCTGATTGATTCCCGTGGCCGCTCATTAAACCCTGATGAGCACCACAGTGGTCCAGGCCTGTGCCCACTTCATCAGAATCACCTGAAGGGCTTGTTAAAACCCAGGTGCCGGCCCTACCAGGAGGTTTTGCTGCCATGGGACTGGGATGGGCCAGAGAATCTAATAAGCTCCCAGGTGCGTTGATACCGCATGTCAGAGACCAGCTGTAGCATGAGGTGTGTTTTCTTTTTTTTTTAATTGACTAATTTATTTTTATTAAGGTATGATTGATATACACTCTTATGAAGGTTTCACATGAAAAAACAATGTGGTTACTGCATTTACCCATATTATCAAGTCCCCACCCATACCCCAGTGCAGTGACTGTCCATCAGTGCAGCAAGTTGCTAGAGATCCACTATGTGCCTTCTCTGTACTACACTGTTCCCCCCATGATCCCCCACACCATGTGCACTAAACATAATACCCCTCAATCCCCTTCTCCCTCCCTGCCCACACCCCTCCCCTTTGGTAACCAGAGATGTGTTTTCTTTTGTCCCCTTTTCCTGCTCTGCCACCCCACTGGGCCCCAAGTGCTCTTTTGTTTGCTTTGCTCTTCACACTCTATTAAAAGCAGAGCAAAAAGCGTTTCCTTTTAAAGGACTTTCAGGCAGTAGCAGCCTAGAAGCTTGTGCCAGGACTCTCCCCTCTGCTTTCGCCTGCAAAACCTCCACTTGCAAGTTTCCACTCAGACATCACCTCCTCCAGGTTGTCTTCCTTTGAGCCCCTGAGTCTATGCTCCCATAGCCCCTGGTATTTCTGTCTCCTTGTACTTGGGTGCAGTTGCCTTGTTGAATCTCTATTTGCCTAAAAATAGACATATTGTCTCTGTATATGCCTGTGACTCCAGCACGTGCCCAATTTAAGTATTTTCCCACAGGAAGGAAGTGGGGTGGCTTCACGCAGAGGGTGAGCTGGGACTGGTCCCAGGTGAAGCGAGGGCAGGCCTAGGCCCCGGTGCCTCCCCTGTGGCTGGAGCCTTCCCTCCCAGCTCCGGCCGGCCCCTGTTCACCCCTCCCTCCACAAGGAGGCGCCTGTCTCTCCTGTTCTCTGACTTTAAGCCTAACTTAACTGCCCTTCCTCTCATTCCTCACCCTGCAAACATGCCTCGCTTTGTAGGACAGCTGGTGTCATTTGACGCAGCCAGATTAACTGCCAGCACCCCCGCCGCCCCCCAAGCCTCCTGTCATTCTTATCTCTTGTTCTGAAGTTCCCAGTCAAGGAGTAGCTGCTAGAGCGGTGGGTCTCAGATGGCGGGGACTTTGCACCCCAGAGAATATTTGTCAGTGCCTGGAGATACGTTTTGGTTGTTAACAACTGGGAGGATGATACTGGCATCTCACGGGCAGAGGCCAGGGTTGCTGATAAACATCCCACAGCGCTCAGGGCACTTTCCAGTAACAAAGAATCTCCGGCCCCAAAGGTCACCGGTACTGAGGGTGAGACCCTGGAGCACTGCCCTCCTTCAGCCTCCCTGAGCGTGTATAGGACACTGCCCTTTGCCAGGAGTGCTGGTTAGTTAGGTGGTGGTGGTTAGTCTGTAACCCACAACAGCCCATGGGTTGGGTCTAAGGTTTCTCTAGGACCAGAAAGTCTGAGAATTCCTAACAAGATGATGGTGGTGATGGTAACGAAGGGGCAAGCGGAGTGCGGTCCCGAGGTGCATCAGGAGGGCAGCGCCTCTCTCCTTGCCTCGGAAAGAGACAGACCGCTCGCTGCTGGCTTTGCAGAGCTGCCTGGAGTGATTCTCCCCCTGGAGAAGAGCGTCCTCTCAGCGCTGAGGAAAGGCAGGGACCCAGTATCCTCCCGCCAGCTGCTCACAGGGCGGACTGCGCCACGTTCCCCGGGGACACCTCCCCCTGGGCTCATCTCTGCCAGGGGCCCCGTGGCCCTCAGCCTTGGCAGGAAACGCATCCTGCAGCACAGATACTTGAAAGAGTATGTAGATTAGGCCTCATGTTCCTGAGAAAGTAAATTTTAAGCCATTCTGCTGGGTGGGACCTGGCCAGTGGCTCTTCTCAGGAGAGTTTCTCTGTTCCCTGAGGGACCAGAGGCTCATTCCAGTACTTTCCACTGCCTGGAAGACAACAGCTGCTGTGGAGAGGCCACTGGGGCCTGCCAGTCGCACAGGAGCCTGGTGGTTTGTTTGCAAGGTTTCAGAATGTGGGAGAAGGGTGGAACCTTCCAGAGAGGCAAAGAGCCCACCCCAGTGAAACCAGCTTGAGTACTAAAAGCACAAGCATGGATCTCAAGATATGGGGACTAGAGGGCATCCCACAGGAGGGTCTGTAACACAGGCTTGGAAGCTGAGCATACTCTGGGGCAAATGAACTCTTGTTGCTTAAAACTGGAGGTGCCTCAGCCTTCAGAGGGTTGGGGACCTGCTTGAGGATTGGATGCTAGCTCTGGATTCTCACCTAGAAGAGTGAGTGCATCTCTGCATAGAATGTCCTTGTCAGCTTCAGAGGGTTAAATGAACCTGATACCACCCCTGGACTTGGGTTTAATGCATCCATCCTTAGGACAAGAGAAATGGCAGCATATCAGGTTAGCAGCTGGCATTAGGTATCCATCGAGGAGATGTTCAGATGATTAAAGGTAAGGTGTTTGGCAGGAAAAGAAGCTCATGGGCAAGTAGCTACATAATTGCAGGTACATAACTGTAACAGGACCAATATTGGCTAGAATCCAATACTGATTAATAGTAACATGGTCCAGTGAGCAAGGGTATATAGCTCTGGAGACATGCATAAGATTCTTGACTTTACTGGCCATTTATTTATCAAGCAAATATTTATCACAAACCTACCATGTGACTGACACTGTTCTGTGAGCTGGAAATACAGCAAGGTCCCTGTCCTCATGTGCCTGTCCTAGAATGGATGCAGAAAATAAACAAATAAAAAATGATATTGGAAGGTGGTAAGTACTTGGATAATGGAAAAGGTTTATCCTGGAAAAGACAACTTTGAATAGAAACAAGAATGAGACGAAGGAGGGAGGTCTGCATGTATCTGGGAGAAGAGGTCTGGATAGAGGAAACAGTAAGTACAAAGGTCCTGAGACAGGATTGTACTTGGCATGGTTGAGGAACAGCAAGGGGCTGAGTGTGGTGTGGAGCGAGGAGGGGAAGGGCAGGGTAAAAATCAGCCCTGTCTGAGAGGGATGTATGGGATCCTTGCATGTCATCCCACTGGAATGGGAAGCCACTGAAGGATCTTGAGCAGGAGAGTGACGTGACCTAATTTAGGTTTAAAAAAGGAATCAACTTACAATGGAGAAAAATATATAGACACGGTTAATTCTCTCATGACAGTAACAATCAGTTATATTCCCTTATTTTAGCAAAGAAATTAGCTACTCCTCCTTGGTCTTGATCAGTGGTCCAGCAAACTTTTTCTATAAATGGTCAGATAGTAAATATTTTAGTTTTTGGGGGCCATTTGGCCCTGTCATAATTACCCTACTCTGCCACCAGAGCGGGAAAGCAGCTACAGACAATGTGTAAATGAATGAGCCTGGTTACGTTGCAGGTGGCCAATCCTCCCAATTTGTCTGGGACTTGAGGTGTTTTTTTGGGATCAAAGACTTTCAGTGCTAAACTGGGTCAATGGGAGCAGTTGGCAAATTCCAGTAAAACTTTACTTATGGACATTGAAATGTGAATTGCATATAAATTTCACGTGTTATGAAAGTGTTCGTGTTTTGATTTCTTTTAATAATTCAAAATGATAAACACCACGCTTAGTTCCTACAAACACAGGTGGCCGTCTAGATTTGACCCAGTCCTGAACTTGATGACCCCTCCATAAGATGCATGATTTTGAAATAGCAGTGGCCCCCGTGCCTGCCCTCTCCTCCTCCTCCTCCATCCGGCTGCCGGGATGCCGGCCCTCGCCCGCCTCTCCAGCCTCATCTTCTGTCTGCTCTTCACATTCCTGCCGCATCAGTCAGCTTTGAGTTTTTTTGGCTGTTCCAAAGTCCACTTCACTCTAAGACTTTACACATACTGGCCCCCTTCCTGATAATTCTTCCCCCACCTTTTCATCTGGGGGGTCATTAGCTCCTGCTCAAAGTAAAGTATACAAATCAGTTCTTACATTATACTTTCTCATATACACCCCCTTTGTCTTTTCCTGCCCTGCAGGTTGACCAGCAGCCTATGTTGGGGCCTGGAGTGAAGCTCTGGCCCAGTGGAAATACACAGCTTAACTGAAGCAATCAAAGTCTCTGGCTCAGGGATCCAGACTGGGGGTGCAGGGAGGTTTGAAGCCACTTGGTAGCACAGGAAGAAACTGAAAAGACACCCAGAGGAGGTGGGCAAGTGGAGGCCATTAAGTAGCAGGGGCCATGAGACCCCAAAACTAGCCGAAGATATGAGAAATCAGCAGTTACAGGTGAGCAGAAACTATAGGTAAGGATGGAGACAGACATGATAGCAGGAAGCCCAGTAAAAGGGAGCAAAGGAATCACCAAAATGGTAGAGGCTTGGTTTATTGCTACAGCCTGGGGTGACCAGACAGCCCAATCGTGGAGCACTTGTGCATCCCGACTGTCCTGCCACTCCCCACAAGGTCTTACCTTATGACCCTTTGGGGATCCCCATGTGATTCCTGTTCCTTTACTGCCATGCATCCTGTTCCCCAAAACTCTCCCCAGCTCAGTGCTTTGTACCTAGCGGATGCTTAAGAAATATTACTCTAAGAATGAATTACTTGAGATAATCTAAGAAAAATGGCTTCTTGCAATCAAAATCTCCCAACACACTGTGTACATTGTGTGGTGGTGGTTTGTAGCCACACCCTTTGGGACACATGTAGTGGCCCTTGATATGTTTTACCCATGAGCATCTCACTTACTCTAATTGCTGAGCAAAGGATCTGCTCTGAGATAGCAGCCTGAGCTCAAGCAGAGATATAGGAGAGACCAGAAGAATCTTGGGCACAGGCTGTTAGTGCTCAGTGAGGGGGACTGTAAATGCAGTCGATGGCTCATCCAAACAGTGGGGGAGAATCTCTGACTTCTTTCTATCCAGCTGCAATTAGAAGCCGTGTGGAGAAACAGGACGGGTTGTGCTGCACAGAAGACAAGCAGCTTTAAGAAGTGGGAAGGATGTTAATTAGCTTTTGACTGGGCTAAATGTGCCAGAAAAGTGAAAGGGAAGGAACTTATTCTCTAGGTAGAACAAGATTAGTTCTTGTCTGGTGTATTTAACAGGCTGACTCAGTAGAACACTCTCTTCCACTCCTCTCCCTTTCCCCCTCAAGCCTTTGAAAACGTACTTTATCAAAATTAAAGTTGGATTCCGCTTGCAGAAGCTCTTAGTGCAATCGATTTGGAATACTCAGGTAGCAAAGCTGAAATCCTTGGGGGGACCACTGATGTGACTATGTGCAAGGCTGTATCCTACCACTAGGGGACAGTATCCTAGGTGGAGAGTGTTCCGCCCTCACCCCTCGGGCAAAGGGCTTGGCTATGGAGGGTGCTCATTTCAGCCCAAGGTGTACATCATAGCACTGGCTTTTCCCTGATTAAAAAAAGAAAGTCCCAGTTGAACGAGACTTTAAAGGCATCTTACCCAGCCCCTTTGAGGAATTAAAATTCTTCGCATACATGTGCACTGCAAACACATAGACACACGCCAACCCCTGTCACTTGCAAAATGGCACAATGTGCTTATTTTCTGTGGATGTTTGGCTGCGTTTTTGAGGGGAAAATCCCCAGCAAATAAACTCCAGGTTCATGGTTCACCTGTTCTCTGGAGGAGATGGCTGGGGGACAATTTGGAAACTTGAAGGTGACTCAGCTTCTCTCAAGGTGAACACTATGCTTCACCTGCCAACATCATGACTTTCTTTGTCCTTAGTGGCAGCCTGAAGCTCCGGTGTGCTTTCTATACCAGAGGCCTTGTTTCTTATTCTTATTCATGCCCTATGCACAGTGTTTCCCTCCTGTAGGCCTCCGGGGAGCTCCACACCTGCAGCCCTATGCTGCTGTCACTCATTTGCCTGTCTGTGTCCTCACTGGGTTGTCAACCCTATATCCTGGAGAAAGCATCTTAGTTTTGAATTCTCAGTGACTAACGTCACTTAGTAGGAACGCTTAGTAGGAACGTGGCTGAATGCTCGTTGGATGAATGAGTGTCTTACTCATCTTCGCATCCTATATACAGTGTTTAAATACTCTTAAGCACACAATAAATCTGCATCACATAACCTTTTTCAGAACACACATGGTGACCCTGCTTTCTAAATTAGACAGTCTTATGACCCAGCCCTTTGGAATTTGCAGAAGCCATGCACATTTTTGTGAACTTGCATGTGTGTTGGAAACTTTCCTTTCCCTTCAGAAAGCTTCCTTGAGCTGGCCCCAAAGGAGGGGAAACCAAGGGACAATGAGACATTCAGCTGGTGGCCTCGGAGTGGGCTTGCTGTGAGGAAGGAAAGGGCCTGATGACGGGTGCTATGAGCATTAACCCAGCCTGTGTCGTGAGAGACAGCCAGCTCACATCATCCCCAGCTCCTCTGAGAAATAAAAATTCTCCATGCACATACTGAGAAGTGCTCTAACCCATTCCCTAACTCCTACTCAGATCCCTCAGCAGACCCCGTGCTGCTCATATGCTGGCAAGGGACAAAGTAGCAGCAGCAAGATGTTCGTTCGCATGCAAAATTGCTGCCCAACATGACAACATCCCCTTTATAATCTGTTGGCAATTGCCTCATCAAAGGAAACAAGAGTGGTTTTTTTTCCAACAGTAACAAGATGATAATGTCAGAGATGCAGTGTTTCTTCATCTGAAAAGAAATGAAGGGCGTCATTAAAGTCCATGGACTCCTTATCTATGGCTCTGAGATGGCATCTAGCACCCTGAGGCCTAAAGGTCTTCGTCTAGGTAACCATCCAACTCCTAGATAGAGAGCTCAGGGAAGGGACTCAGCCTCCTTCTTTGTGTCACCAGAGCCCAAGACAATTCCACGCACAAGGTTGTACACCCCATGTCTGTCCAGTGGATGGCAGATGATGCAGGCTGGGGGACCCATGCCCCCAGCTCTAGAATACCAAAGGAGGGAGTGTCCCTTTGACACCTGAGGGGACATTTGCAGATGAATGAAAGGAAAGGGACTTCACGTGGTGCCTGGTCCCTCATTCAGCAAGTGCTGCCTTCCCTGGGAGCCTGCTCTGCAGGCCGTGAGCACAGAACACCACAGGACAGGCCGCAAAGCCTGGGTCCCGCCCGGCCACAGACTAACAGACTAACTTTGGGTAGGTTCCGCAACTTTTCTGGGCTTCATTTTTCCTCATTGGAAGAAATTGCAAACTGGCTTCCAGTTCTAATCTTCCATTCTCTTATGTTTAAAGGAAGTATGCCAAGTGGAAAACATAGCTTTAAGAGGAGTTTAGAAAAATAGTGTAGAATAGCCATCTACATAGGGTAACTGCTATGCTATTTCACAAAATTTCCTCTGGGGCTGGATGGAACATTGGGCAGGCCCTGAGTGGTAATTGTCACATTCAAGGCACACACTGTATGTACTAAGGTGGAAGGACTCCTAGGGCCTCACCAACACAATTCACAAAGCAAAGTAAGGCCTGGCTGCTGGGGAAGGAAACATCTCAATGCGGCCTCCTGGGCTCTCTGCTGCCTTCTGGCTTGAGTGTGATTTTTACTGCACTTCCAAGTGGACCCTTTCATCTTGCAGACTACATTCAGAGTCAGTATGTGTCCCCAGGAATGCTTTATTGGAGAACACTGGCAGTAATCTTCCCAGAGGGAGAGGAGGAGGTGTAAGCTGGGCTGGAGAAGGATGCCGTAATCAGGGACTTGGAGCAGCAGAACCGTGTTAGAAGGAGCTTTTCCGTGGAGAGTGGCGGGCGGGCGTGCCGTCCCTGTGTGCTCCTTAGAGAGTTAGAGAAGGAGTGGTGCCCAGGCTTGGATGCAGAACTAACCCAGGCAGGGAGCATAATAAGGCATGGTGTAAGCCAGCTTAGTAGAAACATGTCGAATGCCCTTCCAGGGCTCCCTGTTTAATTCCATCTGAGCAAAATGTTGGGGTGAGCAGGAGTAAGGGGAATGCGCGAGGTGGTTCTACTTTGTGTGGAGCCTGGGAAGGTTGGCGCCTAAAGACTCCGGGGCCTTGAATGCAGAGGCATGTGGCCCATAACTAGCTAGCTGCTCCATGTCTGGTTCAGCCACCCTCTTCCTAACCCCAGAACTACCACTTAGCCACCCCTTCTCTTCCTCCTCACGTCATGATTATGGTGTTTCACAGTGTTTGGCTTTCTCTGCATTTTGAACACTCACAGCACAGACTGTCAAATGGCCCATTGCTCTTACCCACAGGCTTCCCCTCAGAACCCCCTGAGGAAGCAGACAGGGGGCCAAGAAGACTGAGCAAATACTGGTACAACTACCCCACTTGCACAGAGCCTCAGCAGTGAATCATGAGGTTCTTGGAATAGTCTGGCCAAGGAAGGCTAGAGGTGAAAGACAGAGCCTGAGATTTAGGACACCCATGTTGAGCTGTGGTTGCATGACCAGAAGATTCCAGAACCATTCTCAGTCTCAGTTTGCCTTCTGTGGGAGGAACCCCCAACCTGTCATCTTGGCCCTCGGTTCCACTGCATCAAATGAAATAGTGTGATTGGGGGTGGTTTGTGTAATGGTACAGACCTCTATCAATGCTCCTTCAGTTAATGCTCTGTCCAGGAATACACAAAAAACAAATACCAGTATAATAATTATTTCAGGGGGTCTTGTTCTCCTCTTGAAGGTGGACGATGCCAGGAGGGAAGAAGTGGTATGCCCCAGGAGGAGCACGTGGGGATGGACCCCCTCTTCGTTGGGTGGAAGCTTCTCAGGCCCTTGGAGCCTTTGCGTGTATCACAGCTGCGTGGATGGCACTCACGTGGCGCTTTCCAGCAAGGAACTTGGAGTTATTTTGCAACGTTTTGCTTATTTGTTCCCTTAATAAATATAGTTGGAAGAATTACAATTCCAAGCAGAATATGAACCAGTGAATGCCCATTTTTGGAAATGATGTCAGATATGTTTAATTTAAAAGTATCCCCACATGGGTGGCTGCTACTTGATACACATATTTTGATAAAGGAATGGTTGAACTTATTGAATAAATGAATTTATTTCTGCTGGTAGCCCCAACTCTTTCAATTTGATTAAACATGTACTTACTCATTTAACCAAGTCATGAGAGATAAGCTTTAGCCCAACACAAACAAACCCTACTCCTTACTTTAAATGTCTCTCAGAGAAAGAATGTGTTTCAAACCAGACCTTCCAGCTGGTTCAATTGTCCTAGAAGCTGCTTGGGTTTAAAATGTTCAGATTTGCTATGGCAATTCAAGCACAGTTCATATATAATTTCCTGATGGTAATTCATTGAAACATAAGAAAGAGAGACCTAGCATACAAATTCAGTAATCAGCCTGGTGATTGATTAAAATCAGTAGAAGTCAAACATGTGCCAGAATTTCTGAAAGGTCAGTTAAGTCACATGTAAGTTTATTAGAAGGTTGTGTTTTCATGATGAGAAGTGGAAGACCTGCATACCTAACTGTGCCCAAAAACCTGCGGTTTGCATCACCTTGATTTAACCCCATTTGAGTTTTCTGCATCTAACACTTTCCTAACTTCATTTCAACTCAATAAACATGGGTTGAACAATTACCATGTGCCTAGTCTTATGCTGGGTGCTCTGGGGGACTCTGCAATCTTTTTATTGACCGAGGAAAACAAGAGTATTCATTATCAGCTAAAATATTTAACAACTGCATGTGAGATGCAAAGTTCAGATGACATATTGGTTATGAGTACCGAGGGACCTGAATTTATTCAGTAGTGATGCGTGACTGGGAGCGCTGCTCAGAGATGAACCTTCTTCCCATACCAAACAGATGCCGAGGCATTTCCTGAACGGAAGGATTGCCTAACAGTAGCTATTTAGTGTGATAATGGCGTTTGATAGTTTGGACACAAACACCATTGTCACACTCCACAGCTCTGCTAAGGAAAATCTGTAGCCATGAAGGTGTTAACTTCACCTCCACGTACCACCATTGCCACTGAACATCACCAGGGAAGCTTGCCAGCTCCGTCCAGTGACCTGAGCAGAGAAAAGAGAGGTCACCAGTACAGAGCATCGTGAGCAGTGGAAAGACAGGAAGATGTCAGGCTTCTGTGTCTGGAACAGTCGAGCTAACAAAGTACTGCCTTGTGTTCTTCATCCACCCCACAAAGTCCTCCTGCCAGGGGGAACAAAGATATTCTATGCAAATGAATGGGAAATCTGTTTGCATCAATTTTCGCAAAGTGCTGAGAAAGAATCTAGAGGGAATCAATTTTAGGAAGCAAATACTTAGTGGAAGACCACATTACAAGCCATAATAATATTACTAGATTAATAGAGCCTCCCCAACTTCTCCCTCCCCATAGATCCCAATCCATCAGCAGTAAATGTGGTAAATTCTGCAGTCTAACAAAATGAAAATTATTTTGCATGGGGATATGGCACTTAGATGTGCTGTCATCTGCTTTCAGTGTAACATCTCTTGGATACAGAGGCATCCAACGGTGCTCAGATTTTAAATCTTATTCAGTCATTTTCCACCATAGCAGTGGGTGGAAAGGGTGGGGAGCAAAGGAAAGGAGGAAAATGGAGAGCAAATAACTGTTCAATTTTTTTTTGTTAATAATACTCATTTTCTAGCAAAAGGGAGCCTCCTGTGAATAAATACCTTCTGGTTTTCTCGGTTTCCTGTTAAAAATGGTTTCTCACTGATGTATGAACTCCTGCCCACAGTGGAGAAGGAGAGGAAATAAATCATTTGACCTAATCCTTTATTTCCCCTCAAATGCTAGAAGAGGAGAGAATTGGGGGCCAATTTATTTTTTTCACAGGATAACTGCATTATTAACGTTTGACCAGAGTCTTACTTTGGTCATAAAACTGGCTCTTTCTTAACAACTAAAAATGATCCCTCTGTGTTTTTCGGTAAAGAAGCCCTTTATTAACGTGCAGTCCATGAAATCACCCTCTTCAGCCTGGACTGTGTGGTTATAAGCACAGCATGAATGCCACTCATTCTCCATAGGATTGAGCGTTGCACCCTGCCTGCCTTTTTTTCCCCCCTTCTTTCCTTTTGGACTGTGTCAATTTGCTTATTTTCCTATCAAGTGGCTGACTTCTTTTTCCAGTCTCTGACCCTGACTTGCCTTTTTAGAGTGCGGTCATTTGCAAGCAGCACGGAAGTGCCACTTGGGCCACTGCTGACCTACTCTCTTCAAGGTGGAATCCTTCATCTAGGCAGTTTTGCTGCGACTCACACCAAATACGGACTCCAGAATTCTAGTTGGTACCAGTCACGCAAACAGCCCTCTGGGGGCAGCCATGGTGGACACAACTGTGTGATTAAGTATCTGGTTCTTCCCTTCCCTACTGCCCCTCCTAATGAGTCAGCTGGGCTCATCCGTTTGGTCTTTACCTGAAGGACCTAGAAAAAGAATCCCCATTTCCTAGTCAGTTAACGGATGCTGCTACCCATGACAAGAAGCTCCAGAAATCTCTTGGCCTCAGTTGGGAAGAATCAGTGGGAGGTGAACAATTTGCTAGTTTAAAAGGCCCTGGTAGGACCTGCTTGGAAAGCGCTCTATCCGGCAAGGGCTTGGGCCCATTTCCCTTCTCAGGACGTTACAGCAGTGTCTGAGCACCCCTCTAGTTCTCCAGTGGGCGCTGTAAGCTTCGGCTCTCAAAAATCTGCAGAAGAAGAAGAAGGTAGGAAATGTCAACAGGGAAGAAGAAAAGAGGAAGAATTTAATGCCTTCTGGTAAACTGTACCAACTCCTCCCTCCAAATGAGCCTCTATTTCTTTGGTCCAAGAAGTTGATCTCAGTGAAAAAGTCCTAAAATTTGTAGAAAAGATTTACCTATAAGGTTGGCCACAGAGGCATTGTTTATTATTGTTAAATTGCAAACAACCTAAATGTCCAATTATAAGAGAATGGTAATATATTTATGGTACAACCCGGTTATTTAAGTTGATGTTATAGAAAGACGGTTGTTGACTTAGAAAGAGATTCAAAATAAGTTACTGAATGAAGGAGTCTACAAGATAGTATACACAGTATGAGCCCCTTTCTGGGGAAAATGTATACATGCCTGGGGCAAAAACATCAAATATGAACTACGCTTACCTTTGAACAGTGAAATTATGCTTTCATTTTTGTTCTTTTGCTTCTCTAAATTTATTAATTTCTATAATGAATATAGAAATTTTGGAATGAGAAAAATAGTTCAAATTTCAACTATTTTAAACCAGTCTCTGTGTGTGTGTGTGTGTGTGTGTGTGTGTGTGTGTGAATTCCCTAATAAAAATTTCTTCCTGCAAAATGCTCTTCTGCAATTGGGAGGCTAGAATTTACCCCATTCCTGTACTGCTTGTCAACAGCTGTGCAGAGAGATGAGCCTCAGGCTAATTTTCCAGCAAATTATTAGGGAAATACTTTATTATGCAGCACAATAATTGTATGGTGGTATTGTACCAATCAATAAACATGTATTTATTGAATGCCTATTATGTTCTCAGCCTTGTGGACAGTTTTTAAACATAGCTGTAATGGTCATTATCTTTTATTACTTCTTTGATTACCTGCAAGAGAGGTTAATCTCTGTTAACTTGCTAAGCAGCTTAAACAAGCAAATAGAATGTTTCAGTTTTTTCAAATGCCACCTGATACTGTCACTAATAAGAAAATTGTAAGTGATTAATGCCAGATTTACTTGGAAATATTTTTTAAATTTTGCAGTCGTTTCTTATTCTGCAGCTTTAAAAAATATTTTGTTCTAATAGTTTCAAATTTAACAACTGAATTAAATAGGACTGGTTAATAGTAATAGAAATTTATAAGCTGACTGGGAAATAATTATACCTGTTATTTCCTGAGAGGAAATTAATGCTAAGGCAAAGATGTTGGATATTAATCAGGGTGATGTGTCCAAATACCCGCATGGTTTTCTACAGCTTAGAAAAGGCCTGGACCTTATTTAGCTTCTCAACTTTGATCTAATCCACAGAAATCTCCCACCCTCTCCTCTGGGCCTTACTTTCTGAGATTTCCTGAGAGAGGTCAAGGAGTCAGCTTTCCTAAATGCCGGTTAAAACTAACTAAATTTCTGGGCCGTGTCTCAGTCTCCCTTCCCTCACCTTCCCAACCTAGACTGAATTCCAGACATTGCTAGTTGCTGTGGCCAATTCAGAATGTGCTCCGCCTATGGGGCCCTCAGGCATGAAAACAGTCCAGACTGGGTTTGCTCCTCTTTTTATGTCATGGGCTTCTTGTCATAAATGAGGAGGGGGAGTTCATCTAGGAAGAAGCCTTTACAAAGCCTAACCCTCTAGCAAATTCATCAACCTGTAAGTCTCCTGTGTGCATCACAGCTCCCTGCAAGATGTCTTAGATTCACAAGTACCAGGAATGTCACAAAACACCCTGTTCTTTCTCAGGTCAGATCTGGGCACAAGCAGCTTGTCATTACTTTCATATTTTGTTTCCTAGGAGCTGAGACGTTCTAGGGCCAACCTCAGCAGGCTGAGAAAAGAATGCTTTGGGCACTGTGAGGTGTTGCCTTGCTGCAAACCTAACCCATCTGAAATAACAAAAAGATTTCTTAAAAAGCAAAAGATGAATGGAGATGCTTTTTCTCAATTCTAAATCCACGTACATTGTTATTTCAAACTGACATGTTAAACACATCAATTTGGTTCTTTTGGCTGTTATAGTCTAGATGAAGACGAAGGAAGTCGGTATCATATGCCCGAATCTTGTCATTTTGCAAGTACATGGAAATTTTAAAATAGAACATTCTTGTCAATAGGGAGCAAAGAATCATTTCTTTTTTCATTGAAATCCATCTAGAAGGGAAAATCTGGAAAGCTCCTTATGCATGCATCGATTACCCACATTTATCTCAAACCAGGAATGAACAGGGAATCACTGGGCAAATTCTAAGCCAGGCTCGGGGAGGGTGGGCGGGGTCTCAACAGACTCTTCTTAAAGAGAATTGCTGAGGCTTGGAGATTCCTAGAAACCAGTTTCATTTCTGCACAGATCTTCAACCATATCCAGTGCTGTTGAGGGAACAGCACATATTGGACAGAGGAACAGCTGTTGTGGCATTTTAGAAATTTAAGAACGAAACACAGTGGGCCTCCTGTGCCTGCCCTGAGGCCTGGGGGAGGGGACGGGAGGATTCCTGGCCAAGTAAACCCCCTCCTTCCAGGTCCGCTGCTGGCGGGATCCTGCTTAAGGCCTTGGTGTTAATGTTAAATCAGACCGTCCTAGAACAGGAAATGGCTTCATGTACCTCCACTCCAAGGGCAGAGATGAAATGCCATGCCACCTCTGGGCCCCCTGCTCCTCCCTTGCCCATCCTTTCCCTCCACTGGGCTTGGAAGAACCTCCAGGAAAGTCTCCGTTTCTCTCAGACTTTCTGAGAAACAATAATCATGGCAGACAAATTCAAATATTCTGCGGCTGACACTTCACATTGCGCAGATGCTCTGTGGGGTCTTCTTAAACTCCTGGGTCTCAGCTGCCCCCTGTTTCTCAGTCAGTGTCCTTCTCAGTCAGTGTCCCTCCGGAACAGCCTAATTTCCACTGGGGATGGGAGGTGCGTGGGGAGAGAGAGGCACTTACCTGCAGTCAGCTCTGTCTTCCCCAGCCCAGGGCCTCTGGCCAGCAGGATGGTGCCTCCCCTCTGCGTGTCTGCTGCCTGTGTGGGCGGCTGTGGGCGCAGCCCTGAGCTTCTGTGGGTTTTAGGCCTTTACCCTCTCCCTTTATGGGATCCAGAGTTTTAAAGTAAACAGTTCTTTCTCTTTCTGATAAGTCACATTAAATTATTGATTTGAAGGGAGGGAGGGCACGACCTTAGCCCACTAAGTCATCGTCACCTTTGGCCAAGCACACTAAGCAAGACTGGAAAGCCCGGCGTGGCGTCCCTGCTCTGCTGTGAGGGGTGCACAGCGCAGGCAGACATGGAGGCCAGTGGGGTAGAGCAGGCCGTGGCTCCCAGAGGACATGTTCTTCCCCCAGGAACCTAGGTTTAAACATATTTAACTCATTCCTTCCAAGAAGGCTGTCTCTTATTACATGGTCACCTCCTCAGATTTCTAGACCTAGAAAAGTCACCTGGTCATATGAACCTTGTCAATCAAATATATCCTTGGCTCATCCTACTTTAAGCTCTTGACCAATATTTGGAAGCCAATCTCGTTCTCTTCTTGAACTGATCATTTTTGACGTGGTTACTATCTATTTATTTGTTCACGTCAACATTTATTAAGCTCCTCCTTATCTGCTAAGCTCTGCTAACACAGGAATGAGTAAGACTACTGATGTTTGCCATCTGCTAGGGAGCACAGACCCATACAAAAGCAGTGACATACACAACCACTGGAGGCTGCCAATGGTCCTACATGAAGTCTATCAACTGCTATTATTTTTAATGTCTCCCATCATTTCTTTCCCTCCACAGGCCACTTTGTTATTTTGCTTTCTTTAGTTTTGGAAGTTACCTTCTGTAGTAATACATGCAATCTCAAGTGAGGTCTGTGTCTCCTGCTTGAAGCTCATGAAGATCTGAGGAAATGGGCAGCCTTAACCCACAGGTATTGCCCTTGTGCCCTACACTTATTTGTAGTAGCATTTCTTCTCAGGTGAAAGAGGAAAGCTGTATATGTATGGTTTTTTCTTTCTTTGTTTTCCCCTATGAACTGATCTCTAGAAATGAGCCCCAAGTTGCCTCTGCTATTTGGTCCTGCTACGGCTCTGCACGTGCCTGGGGAGACCCCTCCCCTTGGACCACCTTTGGTCATCCTGCAAACACTCTCCTAGAAAGACTAGGGCCTTCCCAGGAGGGCTGAGGGATTGATTGGCTGTGATCTCCCAAAGGCCAGCACACTCATATGGTAAAGGCCCAAATGTTCATCCTGCAGTGGGAGAAACATTCCTAGGAGATGCGTGGAAATCGCCGGGCCCCTGAATGCGCCTTATTCCATGGGTAACGGCAGCGACAGGATTTTTTTAAAGGTCTGCTTACTGGCACTGTCTATGGTAACTTGCTTTGCTCTTTTGAAGTTGCTTCTCCTGGGTACAGTCATCACATTACTTTTTGGAATTCCTGTTGGTTTTTCTCCTTTAATGTGAAACCGACTCCCTAGAGTCCCCCATGGACAGATTCTTTCAAAGGGCAGGACAAATCCCTCCCACTCCCAGGCCTCACCACCCCGAACATTGAGTCACTTTCATCAGCTTCTCTTGGTCGGTGAAAGTTAATGTATTTTTGTCGAGACAATTTTCGTTTCATTTGGAAAAACCATGACAGAGACACATATTCAACTTTCAGGTGATTTTCTTAAGTTCCCAGCCATGGTACTTGCAAGATTCTGGATGTCTAAGAAAGGACATCTTGTCCTATTTGTAATCCTTAACAAGCGTCTCTGGCAGATCACACAACCCCCACCTCGGCTACCTTTAACGGGGACTTTTTCTTTAAATAAAAAGGGATGTATTCTTTTAAGATAAGATAGATGTGAATCCTGCAAGGTTGAAGTTCATCTCGGAATGTGCCTGAATCCCTAATGTTTGTATTCAGATACAGCCTGCAAAATTAGGCCTCACAAACAGTGAGAAACAAAATCAGGTAATTTTCCACCGGTTGAGGCTGGAAGCAGGCCCCGCCCCCAGGGGGGTCACTGCCTGGTTTTCTCATCTTCCTGCTCTGAGCCACAGGCTTTCTGAAATGGAAAAAAAGTGATCAGATCCAATGAAGAATGCCAAATGTCTGCCAGGACGGAGGTGGAAGCTTGGGAACTGGGAAGCCAAGGTTTCATTTAAGATTCTTTGCCATTTTGGCTGTTTGCCTTTGGACAAGACACTTTGTATTTCTGAGACTTTAGTTTTCCTGTGTGTGAAGCAAAGCTGAGAATACTCGCTTATCATTAGCTCTGAAACCTTAGGTGAGATAGGAGATGGATTGGTTTTTATGAATAAATAGAGAAAATCAAAGATGGATATTGAGAAATTGCAAGGTCATGAGCTGTATGGACTAACTGGTTATTTAGGCAAGTAAAGGAAAAGACCGGAGTTGCTGATTTACCATGAGGGAGAGAGCCCTGCAGAGGGACTGGACGATGACCGGCCGTCGCCGCAGATCTGCCACCAAGAGAATCAAAATTACTCTTGAACCAATGTCACCATCCAGGACAGCGGTGAAAACATAGGATGTTGGCAGCTAGTCCTGGCTTCATCACTGAAGTTACACCCAGGCCATCTTCTCCCACTAAAGGTCCTACTTTATGGTGGAAACAGGCCCAGAACTCTGGTAGACGTGAGGCGGGGGAAGGGTCCTGGCTGCTGGTGACACGGGAGGGTCACAGCATGGATGGGGCTTGTAGGCCTTTATGCCTCCCCAGGGGCAGCTGAAGACAAGGGGCGGAATCATGATTCTCCCCTGAACACTTCAGCACATATCCCCGAAGAGCAAGATTATTCTATATTCCACTTAACCTGAGTACCGTTATCAGAGCTTAATTAACNTCCTTCCTTCCTTCCTTTTCTTCCTCTCTGTTTTCTTCTTTTTTTTTCTAAACTCTGATCCAGTGAAGATCCAGGCCTTGCATTTGGTTCTTCTTTCCCCATTGTTTAAATGACAAAATCGATCTAGATGCTCTCGAGGCCTATCAAAATGTTATGTTTCCACCATAGTTTTCTCAGAGAGGGGCCACTTCTTTAGGACATCTAGTGAGTGAAGGCCTAGATGGCCTAGAGGCCCTTGTACACCTGCCTGGCTTCCCTCCTCCGTTGGAAAATGAGCACGTAAATCTTCCTTACGCATCAAACAAGGCTCTCCAAAGAGTCCTCCTCCTCATTCATTCATTCATTCATTCATCCACCCATCCAACCATCCATCCATTCATCCATCCAAGAGATTTGTTGAAGGCCATAATGTCCTCAGCACTATTTAAATCCTGGGTGTACAGCTGCAAAAACCACCAGCTAAGCAACAAAACCAGACAGAAACACCTTCCTTCATGGAGTTTACATTCAAAAGGAGGCAAGCAATAAACAAAATAAGTAAAAGGAGGCAGAGGAGGGGAAATAAAAGAGGGTGGTGAGTTTTGGAGAAGGACGCAAGTTGAAATAGTGTGGTAAGCCAGGCCCCACTACAGGAGGATTTGAGCAGACAGCAGAGGGAGCCTAAGAAGTGCCCCATGAGGACACTGTCGGAGGGGCGTTGCCAGGCAGAGGTGTGGGTGCTCAGGGGTGGCCCCAAACAGTACGAAAGCCCGTACTCTGGGACAGTTTGATGGGGGGAGAGTTACCAGATGCAGATGTGTGCGGCAGGCCGTTTGCAGACTCCTACACACTGGTTTTCAGAGTTCCAGTATGTGTGTGCCTATACATCAGCTACAGCAGGTTGAAAAGAAATACTTTTGAGTGTAATTATTTTCAATAAAGAGGACAAAACTTAGAATTGGAATCAGAATAATTATTCAAGAATCAGCTCCACCTTAAATTCTTTTCCTAACTAACTGACTCTAAGAATTCTTCAAATAACACACATTAAGATTTCCAAGACATTCAAATGTGGGGGGATATTGTCTGTTGGAAAATCTATGCAATACATTCATTTAAATCCCTTTTACTCTCCACCCCTTTCTATTTGACAGTGTTGTTCTTACATAGTATAGTTATTAACAGCTTAACCCTGGAGCTAGACCACCTGAGTTCGGACCTCAGCCCCTCTCACTTACCAGCTGTATGGCCTTGAGCAAGCTACTTAACTTCTCTGTGCCTCAGTTTCCTCATTTATAGATTTGTATTAGTAGTAGAGCCTGCTTCGTTAGGGCATCCTGAGCATTAAATGAATTAATATATATAAAGTGTGTGGAATAGTGCCTGGCTCAGGTAAACGCTAGTAAATATTATTATTATCAAATCCTTACAACATCTTTGATCATGCTTTTTCAGTTTTGAAATGAGGAAATAGCTCCAAGACACAGCTAGTATGTGTCAAGGCTAGGACTTGAAGCCCACTTTTCTGGGGAAAGTCTGCTCTCTGCAGCTCTGTTTGTCTGAGCAACAGCGTGGCTCTGCCTTTTCCAAGAGTGGTTCCAAACTCTGGGCACTATGGACAAACTCTGGAGTCACATCACTTCTGACCTGGTCTATGATCTTCAGCCAGATGTTCAGTTGTGGTGTTTTACAAACCACGAACCTGTCCCCTGGAGCATTTGTACTCTGAGTGAGCCCAGGAAATGTGGACGGAGAGAGTGGGCCTCTGCAGCAGCAAAGCTCTGGGACTCCTTTCCTGAGAAGGTACTGGGAGTAAGGAGTCCGTCCTTGTGGACGGCCGACATCCAGGCCCAACGCTGAGTCACAGATCACAGCTCCTGAAGATAGAGGGGCCAATCTCAGCTCTTCTTCTCAGCTTTGGTGACTTCTTCTGATGGCACCCCCTTCTCCTATCACTGGGGAATTCATCTGGAAAAAGCAGTTATTTCATGAGCTGCCACGTGATGAAAGGGCTTAGCTGATGCATTCATTCGTTCATGCTGTCTCCTAGGCAGCTCTCTCCCTGGACTAGGGCCGGCTTTACAGAATTACCCTTTTGCCCTCACACCTCTCCAGGGGCATTAGGAGGCTCCTGTGCATAATCCCAAAGTCATGTAGACTTCTAAGGGCTAAAGGAAAGGATGCACTGACATTGTGATTTATAATAATAAATGTGTATTTGGTTATTGTCCCCATTTCTGGCACAGAGATCCTAAAACCTTAGAATGGAATTTCCCAAGTGATAAATGTTATAAAGGTGCCTTTTGCTGTGTTAATGCAATTACTTTTGGAAAGCGCTGGCCTAAGTAACCAAAGGATGGGGGTTGGTTGTCTGGGACTCTAACCATGTGGTTTGAGGGTTTCTGCCCCAGGTCTGGACCTCAGGAGAGGGGAGGATTAGTGGTGATTCAATCAATTGCCAACGACCAAAGAATTAGTCAGTCATGACTGTGTATGAAGCCTCCATAAGAACCCGAAAGGATAGGGTTCAGAGAGCTTTCAGGTTGGTGAACACGTGGAACTGAGAGAGCGCGTGCCTGAACAGGCATGGAAAATCTGTTCCCCTTTTTCCATGCTTGCCCGAGGCATTTCTGCCCTCTGGCTGTTCCTGAATTATATTCTTTTATCATAAACCAGTGATCTAGTAGGTAAAATATTTCTCTGAGTTCTGTGAGCCACTCTAGCAAGGAGTGGGGCATGGGAAGCTCCGATCAACAGCCCTTCTGTCAGAAGCACAGAAGACAACTTGCCTTGTAACTGGCATCTGAAGTGTGTGTGCTGTGGGGGAGTCATGTGAGACCGAGCCCTTGACCTGCAGGGTCAGATACTATTTCCAGGAAGATAGTGTTAGAATTGAGTTGAATCATAGGACACTTGGCTGGTGTCTGAGAAACGCTTGGTGCTGTGGAAAACCGTTCACCCATTGTAACTTGTGTGCAGGATCTTAAGCACATACTCTGGACAATCTCAAATGCATTTCAGGCTGGCGGTCTCTGCTATCATTTTCTTGAAGGCCAAGGCCAGTTGAAAAAGCAACATACATCCTTGCATG